CCGCTGCTAACGCATTCATAGTAAGTGCCAGTAATTATGCTGCAAATGTGTGTACGTTTGCTCGAATGAACGGACGCGACAGGTTAGTGGCGTTCATCGTCGTTTGCCAGGGGGGATTACATGGGCATTTGCGATTGTTCGCGCAGTGTTCGTCCTCGCTGTTAGCTCTTCCTTATTAGCCGCTTGTGATGTATTTGTGCAGTGTGCGGTACTCTTTTGGGTTTTTGATGTCATACCTCGAATTTTCAAGTTGTAATGGAAGTAAATTTTAATAAGTTTGGACGGTTTCTAACTGTTTTTTTTTAATTTCATGCGGTAGGGATGTCTGTTCACTCCTATAGACCAGAGAAAGCTCGCTGCAGGTAGCGGCATGTTGGCAAGCTCTTGCCCTTTACCGTGCGGCCTTTCACCCTTTCTTCTCTGCCTCTGTCAATTTGGAAGGAGGACCTTATCTGAGGCATTTTTGGCGATTTCCTTTGCAATTTCTTTACACTACTATGCCACAGCTTTATATGTAAGCCCTTTACCGAAATTTGGCTTTCGGGTTCAGAGAACGAAGTCAATAGTCTGTTCTGTTACCTCGTCATCTCATCAAAGGAATCAGTCCGATTCGTTTTCCTCTCCTCGATAAATTACCCTCTAACAAGTTCTTCAGTGATTTTCTGTGTAATGGAGCGATTCTCGGCCACGGTGTTCTCGAAAACTTACGAATCTCGAAAATATTGGTTCGTTCTTCTCTTCAGCCAGGTGGTAGCGGTGAGCAACTTTGAAAGCACTCTAGCTTAGTTTTGTTTACTGTAAGAGATGTTCTGAGCGTAATTTTCATTTTTTTTCAGGGCGTAATCGTTGGTATCAATAGTTACAGTAACCGATATGGTACATATTGCCCTGATCATGAATAGATCAATGATTCTGTGATTGGAAAGCGTCTATGCGCAGGGTACAGCATCGTGATGTGTGAAATGGGGGTGTCGGTGAGACCCTCCCCCACCTCTCGAGGGAAGGCGTTGGTACGACAGCTTCACCTAAAGATGGTCTGGGTACGACCCCCCCCCCCCTTCGCAACCTACTTACCACTGCCCTAAGTTCCCAGCTTTCTACTAGTTTTTCACCCACAATTTTTTCATCAAAGGGGAGGTGGTAAATAGCACACATGTGAGACAAGAAAAACCGCAAAAAGTCATTAACCGAGAAAAGTTTTTCGGCGGTAGGCACATTCGACCCACCTTTCCCAACAACGACTGAATGCACCCCCCCCTCTCCCAACAACAACCAGATACCACCCCCGCCGATCCCTCCCCTGCGGAAAAGTACGACCCCCTATGTGTTCAGCACAACGATGCTGTACCCTGTGCTTTATGAAACATGAAAATGTGATCGTATCTTCTCTACTTTCTAGATGGTATGGCCAGTAGTGTGGTCCAACTTGCTCTTTCCTGTGCGAATCTTACAGTAAGTGATCGATTCAGACCACTCTCGAAGATTTATATGGAATTGTTCATTTTAGATTCTTTGTACTCTGCTGCTGGTGAACCGACATATGCGTAAGAAGACTCGAGGAGTGGGTGCGCTCTCGTTTCGGTATCAGATTTCGGAAAACGTTAGAGTATTAGGTAAGGAACCAACTTTAGTGATAGAACAGAGTTGAGTAAATTGTAAGTTTAGGAAAACAGGCGGGATATAGTATCCTAAATTGTGCGTAGAATTGAGTGCACAGGAGTTATGACCGCACGCTGTGACTCAATCACCTCAACTTCCTTCTTCGCCTAGCCGACACCTAGCTGAAGGTGCGAAACCATATCAGTGTCTCTTCCTGCCTCATCCGGGAGTCAGTGTCTTTGGCTCTGGTAACTGAACCGGTCCGCGGTATGCCCAATAGCGTTCGTCTACGGGAACAACACCATTGATTGTACGCGCAGTTTTCAGGGCACTGTATCCCGCCTGCTTTTCCATTCTCAATCATCATGCATAATCTTGTATTTTCACTGTGGTTCCAGGTTACTCACCCCTGTAGTTCTCCTCCATACAAGTGTTACCACTACCGATCTAGTGGGCAGTACCGTCTTCAAAGTTGGTTTCGACTTTGAGGAGGATAAGTACATTGCTAGTAACTTTTGCGAAGCTGTGCTTTTCTTACAGGTATTCACAAGGTGGTCTGTAAAAGCTTCGCTGATTGAGCACCATTTGTTGCCCCCACCTAGCTTCCATCCCTCTTGAGCTCATACATCTCACTACTTATAATTTTCACTGACTTGAGAATCCTGACAAACATTATGTGGTTGTAAACAAAAACCTTGTTTATTACCTCCAACGTTCGTGAGCATACCGAACAGGGCACTTCCTACTGCTGGAGAAGGTTTTAGGAAATCACGACCTCCCTCTCCCAACATCGGGCGAACTCGACTCCTCCCCCGCTGAAACTTCCCGAAGGATATATAGACAGTGTGCGTGAAACAAGAAAAAAAGCGAGGGTTTTTCTCACGGCAAATACACCCAGGGCACAGCATCGTGATGTGTGAAATGGTGGTGTCAGTACGACCCCCCCCCTTCCCGAAAAAGGGTCTCGGTACGACCCTTCCCCTTTCCCCAACACCTACCTACCACTTTCCTACAAGTCCCAGCCCTACCAGTTCCTCCGAAATCTCCCCCATTCCACTTTTTCACCCAAAAATCTTGCAGTCGAGCGGGGAGAGGGGAAATAGCACGTGTGGAACATGGAAAACAGGAAAGCAGCCAAAAGCCAACAACCGGGAAAATTTTTCCCAACGCGGCAGATTTCTCCCAAAGGCACATAAACCGCCTCCACCAACAACGACCAAATACGACCCCCCCCCTTCCCAGCGGCCAAGTACAACCCCCATGTGTTTCACACAACGATGTTGTACCCTGAATACATCACCCCCTCCAGAAACCGTCTGCATACGATCCCCTCTCAGGGCATATCATTGGTTGGGGATTTTAGTCGAGTCTGTACGACCCCCCCCCTTTTTTGGGAGTTGGTACGACCCCCCCCCAGCCCTCTGTCCTTCCTCATCGAATCGAGCCGTCGAGCGGAAGGGGGGAGGGGGGGGGGTAAATAGCACATGTGAAACAGAAAAATCGCGAGACAATACGACCCCCTCTACCAATTTTCAGATTTTCTCCAACTTCCTGCCCTTTTTTCCAAAATTTCCCGAAAACTTCCCTACTTTTTACCAAAAATTTTGCTGTCGAGCGGGGGGGGGCATATAGTACGCATGAAACAGGAAAATCACCAAAAGTCAACCGCCACTCCCACAACGCCAAAACGTAAATACGACCCCCCCTCCCAAAAATGACCAAGTACGACCCCCTCCCCTTTACAACGTCCATGAAGCGAGAAAAATCAACTATAAAATAAATTACCCAAACACGACCCCCTCTCTTGGCGGCCAACTACGACCCCCCCCCACCCCTATTGGGGATTCCCCAACAACGATGTGCCCTGTCCCCTCTCAAAAGTGTCTGCCGAATAAAATCAGCCGTGGACTACGGTACTCACGTAGTTTACGCACTTACACAAAACAGCTGGCGGATTGTTCGAAATTCGGGCGGGAAAATGTTGCACCTCTTTGCAATTTTCCATAGGAAGATTTTTATTCTTGTTGCGTGTGGTGGTCCCGAGTGCGTGTACTTAGATACCCGGTGGGCGTGGCCAAAATAGGGCGAGGGCTTGACGTGGACGGATATAATTAGGCTTCAGCGCTTCTTCCTGAGCTTGGAGACGATAATTTCCTTCTTATTAAACAGCTGTGTGTTTCTACTGCTTGAACTAAGAAGTTCCGAGAGGAAGAATTAACTTAGATTGGAATTTATGCTTTTTGCAAAGGTATACATTAGGCAGAGGCGAAAAAGTGGTTATCAGGTCTTACGTATGATCATGAAATCAACATTAAGCACACCTTGAAGACAATAGGAACGTTTACCTTGTAAACGGTGCTCCCGTCTAATATCTATTGCAGCACAAATTTGGGAAACACCGGTCCATTTCGAAGCCTTGCCCCTGTGGCCACGCCCACCCGGGTATCTAAGTGCCGGCACTCGGTGGTCCCGAGTGCTCAGTGCTTGTTGGTTCTCCGTTAAATTTTTTGTAGTCTTCCTTTTGTAGATGAAGGATGTTGCATCTCCGCAGAGGAGTGCAGTGTTCACGATTAATTCGTTCTAGTTTTTTGTTGCCGAAAATGGATGTTCTGTCCCATCGAAACGAGAACGTCAATGCAGGAGATGCTGCGATCGAATCAAAGAAGCCTAGGATGGATGAACAGGTAAAACTAGATCTCAGTTGTCGTCCGTTCATCACTTAGACATCCCTCTTCGAATTTTATTTTCAGCTGCTCACCATTCGTTTCGTGAAACTGAATCCCGAGGCACAGGCTCCAGTTTATGGTTCTGATGCTGCCGCTGGTGCAGATCTTTGCAGTGCTGAAGACTGCGTTGTTCCGGCACATGGTGAGTCTTTTCGGCATTCTGTACATCAAGAACAGAGGCTACGCCTCTTTGAAATGCTTACAACGTTTAAAATGAATTCGAAGGTTTCAATTTTGACCACACAGTCTAGCATCTGACGTAATGCCCTATTGAGTCCATCTGAGAGCTTACTAAATCACCTTACTGATGGGAATTCATGCTGTTGTATCCATCGTATAGCAGCCGAAAGCTTGTGGCGGAGGAGTCTACGCGACAGCTGGCCGTGACTATATCCTCCGCCACAAGCTTTCTGTAATTGTTTATTACACAGGTAATCCTGTGTGGTGTAAGTAAGGAAAAAAATCGATAACGCAAAACCAAAACCAAATAAACAGCAAAAACAGCTACTAGAACTTGATGCGTATGAATAAAACCACTACCAAAATTCGAGAGCGTGAAAAAAACTAGTATAAAACTGCCATGAAGCTCAAGAGAGGAAAACAATGAATACAAGTAAAACGAACTGTGCTTGAAAAGGTATTATGATGTGAGATGTTTGTCTAAAGCAGCCTTGAAAACGCTTAGTTTGTTCGTGGTTACTCCCAAGCGTACCAGTCTGTTATACTCTGGGGCAGTCCTGTTAACAAAGAAGTGGTGCCTGATGTTAGTCTTAGCTCGACGAGTGCTCAGCTTTCTAGCACTACCTCTGGTAATTGAATCTCTGACCGCGAAAAGAGTGTTAGGTCTGATACCAGTGCGTAGGTGAAGAATCTTATAAAGGAAAACTAGGTCAAATTTTTTCCTTCTGAGAGCTAGGGTCTCCATATTGAGGTTAAGGTTCCTCACCACACTGGCAGGTATTTGTTCATACTTGTATCCTACCGCTCGCACGAAA